ATCGCCCCAACCTCGGAAGGATGGAAGGCTGAGCCAACCTTGAGCCGGTGAGATTTGAACTGCCGAACTGCACCTAGCAGTCAGTTGAAGTGGCCTGCAGTACTGCACTCTAACCACTGCGCCACCTCGGCTCCTTATTTCCTTGCACTCAGAAGTGTACTAATCTGTTATTGGAATATAATTCTTCCTACTAGTAAATACAGTAAATATAGGTTGCTATTGCTAGTGTTGCAAAAAATTGAATTGAATATCTAGGGCCCTTATTGTTACAACAACAAATAATATAACACAAAATCCATACAAACTTGGCCCGTTTTGTAAACCTTACATTTGGAATGAATTCTGTAAAAAATTTTTAGAAATGGGTTGGCTGCCCTTCATGAAGTGCAGCCTATACATAAAACCTGACATCCCTATGGAAAATATTGCTATCTACATCCCTATGGAAAATATTGCTATCTACAATAAGATGTAAAAACTAAGCATTGAAATCAGCTGAATAAGGTAAACATTTAAAAATAACTGAGAATATTCAATATACAGTGTTATTTACCTGTGTCCAAGCCATGGTTTTCGAATAGGCTTTATGAATTCACATGTTGCATTTCAGAGTCTCCTAAGATAGGCAAAATTTGAAATAAGAAATCTACATAAAATAGTATTTCTCACGCGCTTTCCCATAAAAGTGAATTAAATAGCTTAATTCCATATTTCTCATTTTTGCAACAGTGCCTGAAAATCCAAAGTCAGCTGCAGGTAATTTGGGTTCAGTTACAATCAATAGTGACTTCCATTACACTATTATTGAATTATTGCGTATATTATTTTTATGCTTTTAAGATAGTCATGTAAAAAGTATGCCTACAGAATTGGATTTTGACACATTGCAAATTCAACAAGGGGGGATTTCAGCAGTAGACCAGCAACTGAATTGTGCTGATTCTGTATTTGAAATCAGCACCTATTCAACTGTCTCAATATATGTTTTTGACATTCAATGGTCCCGAAAGATAGTTTTTAAAAAGGCCATACAGCCTCCCCCACCTTGATATCCACAATAGGTGCATATGCATACATAATTTAGATTTCAAGCACCACCCAATTCATATGTCTATGGAGGTTCTCAGTCATCCAGCCAGGTCATGGTTATCCTAGAAGGTGTTCATTTTTTTCCAAAAGGCAACTGGATTTTCTTTGTTTTGCTTGAAGACATTATAGAACTGAAGAAACTTCTTGGATGAGAAGCAAAATGTCTTCAAGTAAAACAAAGAAAGTCCACTTGCCTTTTGAAAAAGCACCTTTGGGACACCCAATTTATAGATTTCCAAAACAAATAAATAAAACCCTTTAATATTCCTTTTAAAATATATCCTAATCCCAAAACACATTTTGGCTTAACACCTTGTTCAAATCCATCTTATTTTGTTTTTGTTCCATATGACCACACTACTACACAGAAATCCCAGGGCACGTTAATTTTAATTATTAGAAATAACAAATGCATGATTTTTTAAAATCAATATTGTTTTTTTTTTACAACTGTTTCCCACTAAAGCCAGGTTTCAATTATAATGAACATAAAAACTACAAGATTAGTATTTATAAACACAGTATTAGAATTGAATGTGAATACAGGAATTATCCATGCTAGAAATATTATATCTTTTTCTTCATGGCAGGAATACAATGGTTTTAATGAGTATGCGCAAACTCTGAGCAATCTTAGCATAGGCTTCCTGTAACCACTAGTTTTAAACAAGGTAATTAGATCATAATCTCATTATTAAATTGTTTTAATGTCTATATGTTGCTTTTTTCTTTTAAAAACCACTGAATTTCTATTTCTATGAGTGTAGACCAGGGGTGTCAAACTCGCATCGTTACTTGTCGTCACATGATGTATTGCAACTTTTCCCCCCTTTGCTAAAACGTGGGTGGACATGGCCAGTGCATGATGGAAAAGAGCCAAGGTGGCGCAGTGGTTAAATGCAGCACTGCAGGCTACTGCTAGATCAGCAGGTCAGC